GTATATAATACGGAATAAAAAAAAACTTGTAACTATAATGCAAGTGTAACAGATAAGAAACATTCAGTTTTCTGAGGAATAATTTGACTGAAATTTGAATTAAAGAATGAAATAAAATACTCGAGTTTACAAATAGATTTACATAACATATAAGCAAATGGTTCTGTGATGGCAAATTTCTGAATGAGTCTGAACGTCAAAAACCCAATTAGTTTGCGCCAGTGTTTCAGAAAACTAAAATATATTAAATATTTATATTTCAAAAATTTCGACAATTTAACATTTATATAACATTTTTAGTAGTATTTTATACATTAAAATATCATATATAAAAAGAATAGACATTTCACTTTTAATATTGAGACTCCCAGCATAAAATGTAAAAAAATCAGTCAAGAGAGACGACAAGTACTTTTTTCCACACTTTTTAAAATATAATGTTTTAATTAAATTTATTGTAATTTCAATTCTTTGTTTTGGTGTAAAGGTCTGAGTTTTAATTATTAATTTATTACAGTCGACCCCCTATAACACGGTAGATACGTTCCGTTCTTTATGAATCAATTTTGTACGAGTCATTGCCAATCACAGCCCGACACGTGTGAAGTTTACGGACTACGGATGTTTGAAAGGTTTTCTTCCATAAAATTAATCGATTCCTAGACTAATTCGACTCAACATTTCCAAAATCCGTATATTTTTTTGGAATAATCCATATAAACTATGCTATAAACAAAAAATTGTAGAATTACTTACCGAGTGTGCACCGTTCCACGTCGCCATTGCTTAAGCTTGTTTTCGTCGCGGAGCAGCGCACCAAACGGCGGCCGCGATTTCTGATAAGTTATTTTTCTGCGAAAACTTCGTTGAACTTTGGAGACATCATTAATATAAATAATTTTTATGGCCGTTGAATAAGAAATGTTTCTTTCACAAAAAATATATAAAATTAGTGTTGTATTAGACTCATGGTACCTAATTTACATACTGTACAGACGATAGTAAACTCAACTTACTCGCCTAAACTCTCCGTAGCGTGGCGCTGGACTGCGGAAAGTATATATATATATAATTATAATAAAGTTACAATAAATTAAGTTAATATATAATTCTGGGTTTTTTTTATCATGTTGTACAGATACTATCGCAATATTTTCGCCGTCATATAGGAATCCAAACTATAGGAACCCGTGTTATAAGGATGTCGATTGTACTTTTAAACTTAATTATTATTTTTAGTTTTAATTTACTGGCTATTGAATATTAATAAATATTATAATATATTATATTACTACAGATGAACCCGGCATTGCTCGAGCAAAAAATAACAACAGCAAAATTATTGGATTACTTCCTACTTCTAACCTTTTTACTATACGTTTTTATGTAACATTGTATCGCTTGTCATTTCGTTTTGACTTCTTATAAAACTTGCTATCAAAATTTCACCCACAAATCTAAAAAACAGATAAAAAGTAAAAAGCAGAAGTTTTTCCTCCAACAATACAGCGCAAACAATGCAAACACCGAACAATGCGTTTCAACAATTCGTTACTTTCGACAAATACGTGACATGCGTTACGTCAGAACGTTAGCGAATTTCATTTATTTCACTTTAAAAATTAAAATAATTCCATTTTCTAATAAATAGAATGATAAGAATGAAATTTGCAGATGTCAAGTCAATAAATTGCTAGTAAAACTTGTCTCGTCAGTAAATATAACGCTGATATTATATACGGTTCTTTCGGTGAAGTTCTTCCGTGCGGCTGTTCTTCCGTGAAGATTCCGTTGTCTTAATTAATCTAAGAAACATTAAAGTAATATAAATCCAATTAAACTATAAATTATGAGTAATAGAGATAGATTTAATAGAAGGCCTAATTTTATCACCGTAATCATCATCTCGTTTCTACTTTATTCATGTCCCCATGTTTAACGTTTTATCATTTATGAGTTATAAGTACATAACAACTATATCATGACATAATTCAATATGTCATTCCTATATCCGTAAAATTCCCTCAAAAATTCCATATTATTCCGTAAAAAGCAGACAATTCCGATTTCTCTACAAACTATTTTTGTATTTACAGATAAAGCACAAAATATCCCGTAATAATTTCTATCAATATATCGTGTATCAATATATTAAAGTTAGTTCAAATCCACTTATCGTGTCTTGACTGTTTGGACAGATGTAGATAAACTGTTGCTGTTGTTGTTTGAGAGCTTTTGCGGTTTTAAACAGATATTGATTTTTAGCTGTTCTCAGCTCTTCGTCCTTAACAAAAAAGTAATTCGAGAATGACGTATTGATACTCCCGGTAAAACAGTTCCTCTCTCTGCATACTGATTACAAATGTTGTAATCTGCTCTCTACTATACTTAAAAAATAATTGAAACATCTGAAACTTTCGTTCCGTTCAGTTTGTTTTTAATAATTAACATTCGAACAGATTTAGGAATCGAAAATGTTGCAATATAATTATGATTGAATCGATATTTGATAACGAAGAATCATCGATTAAAAAACTAACATTTTAAACTTCTTTATGATACCAAACATATTTTTTATAAGATGAAGATCAGGATATGTCAAGTCCATAATATGCACACCATTTACAAAAAACTACCTACAATTAAACTTTGCATTATCTCGTCGAAATTGAAAAACTTTCTTGCAATTTTTTCCGCAAATGGTATTAAGTGTGCATCTGGTATTTGCTGGAATCCTACAGCATTAATGCAACCTGAGATTAAAGCTAGATTTGTTTTAAATCCCCATCCAAATTACAGCCGGATGCAAAGCGGTTAAAATGGTAGCCAATCGCTCTGGTTGACTCAGGATCTAATCCGAACAAGTTGAAAAATCACCAGGAATTTTTCAGAGGGGGAGTTCTTCCCAGACATGTCGGGCCTTGTCCCTCAGCATCCAAAATGAGATAAATAAAAAAAATTATTTTTAGTGTCCGCAAAGCGGAGAGAGGTGAAAATCCCCCATTCAAATGCATTTTCGTCATAAAACTAACAGCATCTTGCTTCCATCGAAAGATAAAAATAATAATAACAAATACACGATAAAAAATAAATACAAAATAAAGTTAAATTAATAATAATTTAAATATTAACAATAAACATTTAAATTAGCTGAGATGACAACTTTTTCATAACTGATTTAAATATAAGAAAGTCCAGAAACGAGTTGCGTATCTTTCCCGGCAACATATAAAAGTTTGTGTGTGCCGCCATCTGCTATAATATTTTGCTATTATTAAAATCTTGAGGCTAGTAATAAGTTTTATAAAATATAT